ATCATTTATTTAGGAATTTCAAATACGTTTTTAATTTTAAAAAAATAAATAAATATAACCACAATAATAACATCTAATCACATTGTACGATCAACACATTATATGGTCAGATGTCACTAATAAAAAATTTAAAATGATTTTTGTAATTTTGAAGTGATTAGTATTGATTATTTAATAATTAAATGAAAGATTAAATACATAAAAAAGTAACGATTTTTGGAGGGAAAAGTATTAAATTGCTACATAGGTAAAATTAATTAGGTTTTATTAAATGCTATTGGCTAGTAATTATATATACTAGTTTTTTGCCCGTGCATTTGCACGGAAAGCTATATGATAGAAGAGAATAAAGTAAAAAAAAAACAAATATAAAAATAATAACATAATCATTGAAACAAAATAAGAAATAATATCTAAATATTATTAAATATTTCTTTATATACAACGTTCGTGGTTTTTCTATCGTCACAATCTCCATCAACACAAATTATTATCTCCAAACTCCTCCGACTGATGACTCTAGATCGTGCCACATACAATTGTCCATGACTTAATACATGATTCTTCATTAGTAAATTGAAGCCTTGGAGGAGTACGTCAACAAATCTCTTGTCAACACCTTTTGAAGATGGTAGTTTGCACATTTTAGTACATGACTATTCTAACGATTATATCTTCAAAATAATAATAATAACAACAATAATAATAAAAAAATAATTGATTGATATAATTAAAACAACAAAGGAAAATGTAATAGCTATTTATAAAGATAAAAAATTAAACAGTACCTATAAGCATAGTTGGGTTAACAAACTTTGGACTATTGTACCCTCACTTGGCGTGTACCATGTCCCGAGTTCGAGTCACTCGGAGGGGAATTGGGGAACCAGTTTAGATCCTCCTTTTTAAGAAGAAAAAAAACAAACTTGGGACTATTTAAATCCTTGAAATTTTTGAACTTGTACATGGAAGAATTTATAAACACCGCCAGTTTTGTTTTTCCATAAAATAAGAATATATTGAAATTCATCCATGTTTTTGAAAGAGTTAGTATTGGGATTATAAACAAATTTATCTGGCCATCATAATTTAGCTAAGTATTAATTTATTTTAATTAATATAAATAATTCAAATTATAATGTGTCTGATCTTTGGGATTAATTTTTGCAAAATAAATATGAATAAACAACTGTTATAAGTCATTCTTTTGCTGATGGGGATTTTCCAATTACGGGGAATAATTATCATAATTATTTTATTAATAATTATAATAAGCAATTTGGAAGTGACATAATGTGAAGGAAATGATAATAATATAAGTCATTCTAGTGCTCAACCCGTGCATTTGCACGGAGAAAAATACTTAGAAAAGGTAATAATATAAAAAAATACATAACCATAATTCATTTCATGAGAAAAAATATGAATTAAGAAAATAATTTTAAATTTTATTAAACATATTGTTTGTATACAATATTTATGGT